GGACCTAGTGGGGGAGGACAGTCAGACGTGACCCAGTAGCGGAGGGCAGTCAGACGGTACCTAGTGGCGGAGGACAGTCAGACGTGACCTAGTGGGGGAGGACAGTCAGACGGGACCTATTGGGGGAGGACAGTCAGACGTGACCTAGTGGGGGAGGACAGTCAGACGGGACCAAGTGGCGGAGGGCAGTCAGTTGGAACCTAGTGGCGCAGGGCAGTCAGACGGGACCTAGTGGGGGAGGGCAATCAGACGGGACGTAGTGGCAGAGGGCAGTCAAACGGGACCTAGTGGCGGAGGGCAGTCAGACGGTACCTAGTGGCGAGGGGCAGTCAGACGGAACCTAGTGGTGGAGGGCAGACAGACGGGACCTAGTGGCGAAGGGCAGTCTGACGGGACCAAGAGACGGAGGGCAGTCAGACGGGACCTAGTGGCGGAGGGCAGTCAGACGGGACCTAGTGGCGGAGGGCAGTCAGTTGGGACCTTGTGGCGGAGGGCAGTCAGACGGGACCTAGTGGCGGAGGCCAGTCAGAAGGGACCTAGTGGCGGAGGCCAGTCAGACGGGACCTATTGGGGGAGGACAGTCAGACGGGACGAAGTGGCGGAGGGCAGTCAAACTGGATCTAGTGGCGGAGGCCAGTCAGACGGGACCTAGTGGGGGAGGACAGTCAGACGGAACCTAGTGGTGGAGGGCAGTCTGACGGGACCAAGAGACGGAGGGCAGTCAAGCGTAACCTAGTGGCGGAGGGCAGACAGACGGGACCTAGTGGCGGTGGGCAGTCTGACGAGACCAAGAGACGGAGGGCAGTCAGACGGGACCTAATGGCGGAGGGCAGTCAGACGGGACCTAGTGGTGGAGGGCAGTAAGTTGGGACCTAGTGGGGGAGGGCAGTCAGACGGGACCTAGTGGTGGAGGGCAGTAAGTTGGGACCTAGTGGGGGAGGGCAGTCAGACGGGACCTAGTGGCGGAGGGCAGTCAGACGGGACCTAGTGGCGGAGGGCAGTCAGTTGGGACCTTGTGGCGGAGGGCAGTCAGACGGGACCTAGTGGCGGAGGGCAGTCAGACGGGACCTATTGGGGGAGGACAGTCAGACGTGACCTAGTGGGGGAGGACAGTCAGACGGGACCTATTGGGGGAGGACAGTCAGACGTGACCTAGTGGGGGAGGACAGTCAGACGGGACCAAGTGGCGGAGGGCAGTCAGTTGGAACCTAGTGGCGCAGGGCAGTCAGACGGGATCTAGTGGGGGAGGGCAATCAGACGGGACGTAGTGGCAGAGGGCAGTCAAACGGGACCTAGTGGCGGAGGGCAGTCAGACGGTACCTAGTGGCGAGGGGCAGTCAGACGGAACCTAGTGGTGGAGGGCAGACAGACGGGACCTAGTGGCGAAGGGCAGTCTGACGGGACCAAGAGACGGAGGGCAGTCAGACGGGACCTAGTGGCGGAGGGCAGTCAGACGGGACCTAGTGGCGGAGGGCAGTCAGTTGGGACCTTGTGGCGGAGGGCAGTCAGACGGGACCTAGTGGCGGAGGCCAGTCAGAAGGGACCTAGTGGCGGAGGCCAGTCAGACGGGACCTATTGGGGGAGGACAGTCAGACGGGACGAAGTGGCGGAGGGCAGTCAAACGGGATCTAGTGGCGGAGGCCAGTCAGACGGGACCTAGTGGGGGAGGACAGTCAGACGGAACCTAGTGGTGGAGGGCAGTCTGACGGGACCAAGAGACGGAGGGCAGTCAAGCGTAACCTAGTGGCGGAGGGCAGACAGACGGGACCTAGTGGCGGTGGGCAGTCTGACGAGACCAAGAGACGGAGGGCAGTCAGACGGGACCTAATGGCGGAGGGCAGTCAGACGGGACCTAGTGGTGGAGGGCAGTAAGTTGGGACCTAGTGGGGGAGGGCAGTCAGACGGGACCTAGTGGTGGAGGGCAGTAAGTTGGGACCTAGTGGGGGAGGGCAGTCAGACGGGACCTAGTGGCGGAGGGCAGTCAGACGGGACCTAGTGGCGGAGGGCAGTCAGTTGGGACCTTGTGGCGGAGGGCAGTCAGACGGGACCTAGTGGCGGAGGCCAGTCAGAAGGGACCTAGTGGCGGAGGCCAGTCAGACGGGACCTATTGGGGGAGGACAGTCAGACGGGACGAAGTGGCGGAGGGCAGTCAAACGGGATCTAGTGGCGGAGGCCAATCAGACGGGACCTAGTGGGGGAGGACAGTCAGACGGGACCCAGTAGCGGAGGGCAGTCAGACGGTACCTAGTGGCGGAGGACAGTCAGACGGAACCTAGTGGTGGAGGGCAGTCTGACAGGACCAAGAGACGGAGGGCAGTCAAGCGTAACCTAGTGGCGGAGGGCAGACAGACGGGACCTAGTGGCGGTGGGCAGTCTGACGAGACCAAGAGACAGAGGGCAGTCAGACGGGACCTAGTGGCGGAGGGCAGTCAGACGGGACCTAGTGGTGGAGGACAGTAAGTTGGGACCTAGTGGGGGAGGGCAGTCAGACGGGACCTAGTGGCGGAGGCCAGTCAGACGGGACCTATTGGGGGAGGACAGTCAGACGGGACGAAGTGGCGGAGGGCAATCAAACGGGATCTAGTAGCGGAGGGCAGTCAGACGGGACCTAGTGGTGAAGGGCAGTCAGACGGAACCTAGTGGTGGAGGGCAGTCAGGCGTGACCTAGTGGCGGAGGGCAGTCTGACGGGACCTAGTGGTGGAGGGCAGTCTGACGGGACCAAGAGACGGAGGGCAGTCAAGCGTAACCTAGTGGCGGAGGGCAGACAGACGGGACCTAGTGGCGGAGGGCAGTCTGACGGGACCTAGTGGTGGAGGGCAGTCTGACGGGACCAAGAGACGGAGGGCAGTCAGACGGGACCTAGTGGCGGAGGGCAGTCAGACACATCATTTGTATATGTTTATGGAATAAATTTAATTGAAATGAAATGAAAAGAAATCATTTTAAAAAAACTTCGCTCCAGTAGATTCTAAGCAGTGCATAGATATCTGAAAGTAATTCTCTCTGTACTTCCAGTGTTTTTTGTAAAATTTCACATCAAAACTTGATTTCATTTCATAACAACTTATTTTTAAAAATATCACAGTAATTTTGAAGTAATATATTACAATTTTCAAAATAATCCTTGAAAGAACTTTTCTCAGATCCTGAATACGTTAAGAATATGTTCAGAATATCCTGAATACCTTCAGGATACACTTAAATCTACATTATAAGACTGTTAACTTAAGTGGAGAAAATTTCAAAAGGATGAAAAAAATATATATAATAAGATGAAAATTAAAAAAAATCACTGTCTTACATCACTGAAAGTGTAGATTTTGGAATGTTACCTACACTGGTACATTTAGTCATGTTGCTATATATAGAAACAACAAGCCAAATAGGCCTGAATCCTCATCTCTCCTTCAGTTAACAAGATAACAACATCAGTTTGTCAAGTCAATTTCTGTAAACTTGAAAGCTTATTCTTTCAGCATGCAGCTACATATATACCATGATGAAGTAGCTATTACTTACTGAAAAGAAGAGATTTTTAACACATTTGACCCCTGTGACCTTGAAAGTATGTCAAGGTCATTGATTCGAACAGACGTGGTAGTCCTTCACCCTAATATGCTACATTCCCAATATCAGCACAATAGAAGTTTTAAAACTTTCAACATATTTGACCCTGGTGACCTTCAATGTGGGTAAAGAAAACAAAATAATGACACTATCAGTGGTAAATCAAATTGTCCTATCAAAACTGAGAAATTGAACATGCTGCATATAGAGAATGACCCGTCATTAATAGGCCTTTTGAGTTCAGGAAAGGGGGTCGGATGAGAGGGGGGCCCAGGTTAATGATGCCATGACTTTTAAAACAAGGTTGCTGTGGTTTTCTTGAGTCGTAGATTTGTTTTTCAGCTTTTCTTCCATCTTTTGAGGAAATACATAAAGCAAAGTACCCACTAAATGAAATGAGCACTTTTTTCTTATCACAAAATGAAATGTACAACATATATCTATAGTGTAAATAAAAGTATGATATTAAATGTACTCCCAGAGTCACATGATCATCACATGATCATCACATGATCATGACTTGACTATGATGACAATAAATATTTAACAATAATGAAATAAATAAGCCACACATCTCTAGAACATATATAGTCCTGTACAGATCAATACAAAGGACACGTTTAACATACTTGTGTCAAGTTTTTTAAATTCAGGATCTCAAGGATTATCATTTTGTCATGGAGTCATTTACACAAAAATATTTTTGTGAACTCTTCATAACGCTGTTAGTAAATTGTGTAAACATCCTTTGGATCATATGAACACTTCAGTAATATAATCCTGCTATTGTTCAATACACAGTTTGCATCTACCCTGAAAAGACATGTTATGTCTGCTTGTTAAAACCAAGTAATAAAAAAACAAAACAGCAGATTTTTAAAAATCAGAGCATCGTAACGACAAAAGATTAATGAATTGTTGTCGAAAAAATCATTACTCTTTATCAAACGAAAGATTTCTATCATTAAGGTCCTTGCTTCAATGCAAACCAGAATTGTAATAGGAATAGAACTTGATACCATAGGATAAATGATATGAACCAAATCTGTGGAAAGGCTCTCATCACATATTATTCATTTGGAATGGGACTTGATGCACAGACATGGTTAGCGCAAACTCCTCAATCTTATGTCTTATCGGACAACGGAGGATTATAACGACAACATTCATCCTTAATCCTTAATCTTACGGTCTTATAGGACAACGGAGGATTATAATGACAACATTCACCCTTAATCCTTAATCTTATGTCTTATTGGACAATGGAGGATTATAACGACAACATTCACACTTAATCCTCAATCTTATGTCTTATTGGACAATGGAGGATTATAACGACAACATTCACACTTAATCCTTAATCTTATGTCTTATTGGACAATGGAGGATTATAACGACAACATTCACACTTAATCCTCAATCTTATGTCTTATTGGACAACGGAGGATTATAACGACAACATTCACACTTAATCCTCAATCTTATGTCTTATTGGACAACGGAGGATTATAACGACAACATTCATCCTTAATCCTTAATCTTACGGTCTTATTGGACAACGGAGGATTATAACGACAACATTCACACTTAATCCTCAATCTTATGTCTTATTGGACAATGGAGGATTATAACGACAACATTCACACTTAATCCTCAATCTTATGTCTTATTGGACAATGGAGGATTATAACGACAACATTCATCCTTAATCCTTAATCTTACGGTCTTATTGGACAATGGAGGATTATAACCACAACATTCACACATATATATTCAAATTTAACTGACTTATTGCATGAAGAAGTCCACCATTCTGAGCGTCTTTTTACACTCCCCAAATCATTAGGTAGGTGGTTATCCTGAATCACTGACAGATATGAATGATCATGTTTAAAATTTTTGTTTCCCTGCGTCCCAGTTTTGATCTATCAGGCACAATTTTATATGGGAGATAGTTTCTCTTCAGCGTGTCCATGACACTATGATTCTTAATATTTTCTCGTCATAATTGTTTCTTTAAGCATGCCATCTTTTTAAGATATTTGCAAAAACAACATTCAGTACAGACAAATTTACTATTGGTCGGTTTGAAAATGTCAACTTCATATCACTAGGACTATTTACAAACAGTGGATATTTGTGAAATAAAGATGTAGTTTTGTTGTTCTCAATTGTCCCTGCAGTACCAAAAAATTGGAATGAGAGAACTAGTCAATGATTCCTGGTCATAATTCCGTGTCTCTGCCCAGTCCATACCACTGATCTGGCACAGGCAGGAAATAGCGGCCCATCGCCTCCATAAAGCGGGTTCGGTAGATTTCAGGGGACACAACTGTGGGCATCTTACCTGTGACAAATCAAAAGAAATGATCAATCTACCAAATTGATCACATATAAAGGATCTTAAACATGTGTCTATTCTTCTGAGTATTATAAACATATCCTAACTTTTTTAACCTATTGTAAAGTAAAAGGAAAAATTCATAACAATTTTCATAAATCTCATATGAAATGGAAATAAATGTAGCATTATATTGGTACACTAAGTCACAGTGTGGTCACTGTGATAACTAGGTCATCGCGTGGTCAAAACAACTTATTTTTTAATCAAATTTAGAAGCTATTATACTTGCACTGGTTAAAAACCTGAGCTAAACACAATTTCTCAATACTGATGTTGGTTCCAACCCTGCCATCTTTCCAACCCAGACATCGTTCCAACCCAGACATCGTTGCATCGTTCCAACCCAGACATTGTTCCAACCCCGCCATTGTGTAACCCAGACATCATTCCAACCCTGACATCTTTCCAACCCAGACATCATTCCAACCCTGACATCTTTCCAACCCAGACATTGTTCCAACCCTGACGTCGTTCCAACCCTGCCATTGTTCCAACCCAGACATCGTTCCAACCAAGACATCCAAGACAAAATGACACTTTCGTTCCATTCCTAAGTCTCTGTGAGAGGAAAAATGAGCTTGTTGGTTTATAAATACCTCCAGTTGATTTGATCAATGTTTCCAGCTTCTTGTCCCAGGTGAAGGTCCTAATGTAATCTGAAATAAGTGATATTCTTAAGATAAAGCTCTTAATACCAGGTTATTTTTCAACTATAATATCTGGATCAATAGTAAGAATCATTCTGACTAGAAATTGCAACTTTGTTCAATTTCACATTTCAATCTTTATCTCAATTTAATAGCTTTCTAAATTTTTAAAAAAAATAGTTACCCCAAAAGTTGAAACTTTCCACATGCAAAATTTTCCACACTGACAAAATCCATAATTATTCAGAATTCAGAATCCAATTAATTGTAATTATGATATTATGTAAAAATCTTTTTATTTGTTTTTTGTGGAAAACTAAACACATACCTATGATGCCAACAACTAGTTCATTTTGCTTCTCATCCAGCCCGACCAGGAGAGAGTAGTCCATAACAAGATTTGATGACAGGAACTCCGAGTCCCGTTTGATGGCCGTATTTAAGACCATTTTAGAGTGTGGGTACACATACAACGGGGACTCAACACTCACTGAGAACAGAAAATATACAAAATGATATATTGAATCTTAACAAGTATACTGTTTTAAGAATACATTTGTAGTGTGTGGGCACAAAGATTAGAAGGACTCAACACTCAATGAGGACAGAAATAAACCAATTATATAAACAGAATCTTATCCAGTGAAGTTGTGAGAAGATCTGTGTATAAATGAGGTTCATCAATTTTCATATGAACAAGAAATCAAACCTAGGTTCATTGCCATATGCATGCAGTTTCTCGTGGCAGTTTCCAGGTATTAAAAAATGTTGCTGTAAAGATTAAGATTTATCCTGCGACTGGCACGGTCATTATCAGAACATACCTGCCATATATATTGGCATGTACGGTAATTTGATAGAATTACTCTCTGAATTTATCTAAATATTATGTTTAATGATATCAATAATTGTTGAAGTAAGAGATTTTACATGTTGCAATGAATAAGTTTATTTTCGAAAATTCATAAAATCGCTGTCATATCTGATGATGTTTGAAACCATATTTCTGTGTGTGCAATTATTTTGGCGTACGTCTTCAGGCAAAATTTAGTATATTGTCAACATCAGATAAACAAAGACTGAACAACAAAACTATTGAAGTTTCAATGGTCTGATTCGCAATCAATGTTGCAGGATAAATAGAATACACAGTCAGTGTCTTACAATATAAGCTGTATTTTTGCTCAGGACAGAAAAACAAATATGGCTCACAGAGGCTTACCACTTTTGTCTCCCTTCATCCTCGCCAAAATACAACTTGTATCTTAAGACACTAAAAATGTACTCTCCCTTCACCCTCGCCAAAATACAACTTGTATCTTAAGACACTAAAAATGTACTCTCCCTTCACCCTCACCAAAATACAACTTGTATCTTAAGACACTAAAAATGTACTCTCCCTTCACCCTCGCCAAAATACAACTTGTATCTTAAGACACTAAAAATGTACTCTCAATATAGCTTGGTACTGTGAAGCAGCCTACATGTAATTCCAGTTACATCAGACAAGTATTGCAGTCCAGTAAGTCAAGTTGTAATTAAAATCCCTGACAATGTACCATGTTTTGGGTGTCTGTTTCTGTGTCAGTTACTCACATTTCATGAGGTTTTCATCAAGTAACACTACTTCCTCCTCTCGTTTCCCTGAGGTGTTCACAAGACGGTTCCTGTTGGAGCCCTTTAGGTCGAAAGTCTGTTCAATTTATAAAAAATGACCAAAAAATAATAAATATAGCATCCTATATCTGGTTGTATCACTTTCACTGATCGCCATGCATACAGGAATAAGTTTCCTTATTCCTCAATAGAACACAAAAGTTTTTAATATGTGGCATGATAAATCAACTATTAAATCAATCCTTCAGAAAGTTACCTACCTACTGTAAATTCATTCATTTTTGTGGGGGATTTATTTTCAGCAATTTAGCCAGTGCTCTCAATCCACAAATTCATACATTCACAAATTGTTAAAATAGACATAAGTAGATTTATTGAGCTAAATTTGTCCACAAATTCAAGTGTCAACGATATTGGAGTTTTCTGAAAAATCATGAATATCAGCCTCATGATTATACAAATATGATTTGACAGTACATAATAGCATTTTAAATTTATCCCTAGATCATTGAAAATTGAAGAAAGCTTAGTCATAATACAATGGTTAATCACTACAAGTATTACAACAAAAGACTTTCTGTAATAGCTGTTTAATTTCGAGGTATATAATTTATGTCTGGATTGGGCTACTTTACAGATTTTTTTTTTAGTGTTTGTCTATCAATTCGTATCAATGTATTCATTCATATGTAAATATTTTTTGAAATTTTGATTCACTGTCAAAATGTTTGTTGGCTATTTAATTTCATAGTATCTTTATTGACCAAGCTAATATAACTGACTTTACAGTACAAACCTTTAATCCATGGTATTGTAACATTACAAGAGGCCCTATTGACCAATTCACTCATCTGTTCTGCAGTTTACTTGGATGACTTTTTCAGTTTGTAATAAACACAGAGAGGTTTACCTTATGGATTTATCTAATCTTGCCCTGTCAGAGACAGAGAGAAATTTACATTTTTCCTATATCACCTTGTTTGACACAGAGAGAAGTTTACCTGAGATATTTTTCTGTTGTAGAAAAGGTTCTCCATGATCAACACATCTTGTTTCAGGGCCCGGTTTGTATGCGTGTTACGGAATCCAATTCTGTAGACACCAACAATCTTTGCCAAGGCAGTTGGTTTCTATAATAATAAAATTTCATCAATGAATAGTTCATCACAAGAGCATCATTGAAACTGATGAATGCTCCCTGAAAAAGACTAAACTGCACACAAAATTTTAACAAAGGGCAATAACTCTATAGTTATAGAGAGTTACAGGCCCTGAACTTGATACACCTAACATTGCTTTTGTATGACTTATGTATAAAAAAAAAATCAAGTTTCAATATTCTAAGTTAAATGCAGGTGAAATAATTTTTAACAAAGGCCAATAACTCTGTAATTAAAGAGTTGTGGGCCTTAACTCTGCGCATTGTCTTTGTATGATCAATGAATACACCAAAGTTTTATTATTGTAGTTTAAATGAAAAAAAAGTTATGCTCCAGACACAAAAAGTTAACAAAGAGCAGTTACTATGTAAATGGGTGTCAAGGGCCCTAAGATTTGATACACTGTAAATCACCATATTATGGCGAACAGGCAGACGGACAGACAAATGGATGGATGGACAGTCAATGCGAGACTATACGCTCCCCTGAACATTTTTGGGAAGCATAATAATATATGAAATAAAGTTACAATAAGGGCCTCAAACATAATTATTCATGTGACCTCTGACACATTCACCTTGACCTTTATGACAACTTACCACTCTGGGGAAGTGGAAATTTCCATGGTGGTGAAATGGTTGCTAACTTTTATTATGTTTCCACTTAATTATCATGATGGCATTAATCTAATACAAATACACAAGAAAATACCTATTTCAGCAGTTTGACCCTGTAAACTTTGATAATAAGAAACAGGACTAATACTAATCACTTCTGTTGAGAAACATACCTGCTCCAAGTAAGACTTGCTGACATGCTGAAAGTATTCTGGTCCAAATTTTTCAAATATATCCACTTCAATTCCTGACATCTGCTTCAGGATAAATCTATCATCTGAAAGAATATAGTAAATGTGTATTGTTATTGTTACACATAGCTCAAAGTTTTCTCATTTTTTTTTCACTCAAAGAGGTTTTAATTTCAATGAACATAGTTCATGTCTCCCACATATTGTATAATAACGACTTACCATCAGTTTTACTGAAGGCAGATCCAGATTTACCTCCCTTGGCCTCCCAAACTTTACATCTACTCAATGATCTTATGAACCTGTAACATAAAAGGTTGAAAATTGGTGAAATTGAAGAGAATGTCTTATTTGATGACATTTTTTAATTAATAAAATAAACGATTCCACAACAAACCAAATAACAGCCAAGTTATCCTGACTTCTTGTCATCACATGGACATGTATATAATATATTCACGTCTCTCACGACCTTCACATTTTTGGCTTATAATAACCACTTCCTGTGTGATGTCATTCAACAGTAGTGACCCTTCTGTGACCTTGACATTCTACACTAAGAATTTTTCTATGACCTAGACCTTCTATGCTAACATTTTTCTGTGATGTGATGACCTTTTACACCAAAATTCGTTGACCTTGACCTTCACTTTCCTTCTGTAATCATGACACTAGGCACTAATATTTCCTCAGTGACCTTCACTAGCTATTTTAGACTAACATCATGTCTGACCTTGAATTTCTAGCATGCCCCTTGCAACCTTGAACTTTTACATTAACATAATTCCTGTGACCTTGACCTTCTATACTTATATGTCCACTCCTGTGACCTTCACCTTCTACACTTACATGTCCTCTTGTGTGACCTTGACCTCTTATACTTACATGTCCTCTCCAGCAGGAAAAATGAGCTTTCTTAGCTGCTGAAATTGCTCTGCAAAATACACCTTACAGTAGAAACGTGCTGTCTGGTCTGAAAATTCTGAAATGTAAAATGTGCCAGTGTCGTGTGAAATATCACTGAGGGTACAATGATGTACTGTGAAGCATCAGGAATCAGCTTCAATAGCTTTGATTTGGTTCTTAATTTATTATTCTGTTACTTTTTTTCAGTACAAATTTTGATTTTTGACCTACTTGTGTCGAGTACTATAACCAATAACATCCATCTTTTCAAGCTTATATCTACTTTATTCAGAAATAGGTAATTTGAAAGTAAGACATGTACAAGATACAGACATTGATATTTTTATCAAGTATAGGAAACAAGAACACAGCAACTGATTTATTATAGATGTAGTTGATAATTTTTTAATATAGATATTTAGAAATAGCCATAGAGACATTACCTAACCCTATCCATCATTTACCTTACATATCATATTTAACCTGGAACAGGGAACACATATTTTACTTCTGGACTACATTACAATGACGTATGATATGAAATTTGGAGGTTGACATTTTACAGGACAAAGATTGCTTATTACAGGACAAAAATATATCATGTGAGATTCAGGAATGGGCTTATTACAGGACAAAGATTTGTCCTACCAGATTTGGAGTGGGCTTATTACAGGACAAAGATATATCATACCAGATTTTTGGGTTGGCTTTTTACTAGATGATATAGATATATCATTTAGCGGTAAAGTTAATTGGGTTTTGGCTTATCACAGGACAGAGATATATCATTTGAACATTTGGGAGGGCTTTTTACATGTACAGGACATGATATTGTTGTATAACGTTTTTGGTTTTTCTAATAAATGGCAATGTGGGTTAGCTTGGACTGTTACCAGAACATCAGTCTTTATATAATATAAAAAATTGCTGAAGTTTCATTTAAATTTATTTCTGTTGATACCTAGCAGTATACCTAAAATAGGTGATTTTGAACAAAGCTGGTTATCAAAAATTGTACGCGCTTACAAACTGAAATCAGAATCAGACAAGATTATCAGTGAAACTGATGAAATCTCCCCAGAAACAACAAACAAATGGCAATAATTTTACAGTTAAGGGATTGGCCGCCATGACTCTGCTACACAAAGTTTCATTATCCTAGCTTAAATGAATGCAATTTAAAGTTAAGTTCTGAACACCAAAATTTTAACAAAGAGCAATTACTCTGTAATTAGGGGGTTAAGGGTCTTGATTTTGGTACACTGTACAACATCTTAGTATGACCGATGTTTAGACAATGCTTCACTTTACAAGTCTACAGGCAAGTAATCTAAAGTTATGCCGCAGACACTAAATTCTAACAAAGGGGAATAACTCAGTAATTAAGGGGTTGTCATTCCTGACTTTAATACACTGCATATTGTCTTAGTATCACTAATATCATTATGTTTCATAATCCGTGCTTACGAATGGGCAAAGAAATGCTCTGGACACAAAAGGACAGATTGAAAGCGGGAGGATGGACAGATAAAGCGGCAACTATCTGCTCCATTGAAAACTTTCAGAGTGCATGAAAATATTAGAAAATTTTCATCATTAATATTTAAGAAGACAGACAGAGATAAATAGTGATAAAGTGAGATTTTTTTTAAGTTGTGAAAAAAAAAATTGGAAATATCACCTAAGGGTAAGCACAGTAAGTGAGATGTTAAAGACCGCAATAGAGAAAAAAACAAAATAGAAATGAGAAATTCAAAATCTGGAGCATGCATTTCTTCCTTACGGAGCTCTAAGTGTGGACTGCTCGTCTGCTTGCCTCCCTTTGACCTGTCCGAATCAGCTCCACCAAGCGAAAGTGAAGCAGACATCAAGAAAGCCCGTTCTTCTTCTGTTACAGCACAATGAGTTAGCAGTAAATTAAGGGCTGACAGCTGTTACTGAGTGTGACCTCTTTTATATCATTACAGTATTACATGATAAATACTATATGGAAAGCAAAAACCAGTAATATTTTGTGAATGTTACTCCCACGTCAGACCTAGTCATTTCTGTGGTGTAAAATACAGCCAGCGAGTCTATATAAATAATGACTGGGTTAAATCAAGCGTGGAGGAAATCAAGCTTCCAATGTCAAATTGTACTAAATATTGACAGTTATATAATAAGATTGTAAAAAGTTTGGTTACATTTAAATTATTTCACATCTAAAACAAAGCATACCAATCTCTATGCTATCAGAATCCACTTTGGGCGTGTATTTGACTGAATCCATCGCTGCAGCATCCATTGGTTTCCTTGGTAACACAGGGCTGGCCTCCTTACTTCCACCACGTAGAAATGCCAGCATCCCTGATCCTCCTTTACGCACTCCTACATAAAATCAAATCTTCTCCATTTCTAACACGTTATTGTAATTGATCAATTGATTAAAAGGTTAGAAGAAATCTGCCATATTTTACTCATCAGAAGAACTTTAATTCTTGTCTTTTAACAAGAATCTAGTTTTAAAAATTATTCTTACACCTTAACACTAATCACATGTAACAATTACTTACATAAAACTAAGTAAACAATTTGTTGAGATAAAACAATCTCTTGGTCATAAAAATATAACCAAAATCACTTTCTTCAGTGGAAAAAAGATTTCAGAGTGGAGTTTCAACTTTTTCAGTAGGGATGCACAAATATGTCAGAGAACTACTGGTCATACAAGAAAAACAACAAGTCATTTACCTTACACATGTCTGAGGTAACAGAATCATATTTACCTTTATCACTGTCTGAGGTACCAGAATCATATTTACCTTTATCATTGTCTGAGGTAACAGAATCATATTTACCTTTATCATTGTCTGAGGTAACAGAATCATATTTACCTTTATCACTGTCTGAGGTAACAGAATCATATTTACCTTTATCACTGTCTGAGTTAACAGAATCATATTTACCTTTATCACTGTCTGAGGTACCAGAATCATATTTACCTTTATCATTGTCTGAGGTAACAGAATCATATTTACCTTTATCATTGTCTGAGGTAACAGAATCATATTTACCTTTATCACTGTCTGAGGTAACAGAATCATATTTACCTTTATCACTGTCTGAGTTAACAGAATCATATTTACCTTTATCACTGTCTGAGGTACCAGAATCAGAATCTCCTGATTTATTTCCTTTAGAGATGCTGTAACAATGAAAATCCACTTTATCACCTTTTTCAAATGCAGATCAATTTTATCATGATCAGCTTGGAGTTATGCTTTTAACCAAATTTTCAAAAAACTGCACAAAAAAGTGTACATAGATCACTTAACAACGTAGTGTGACCTACCTCTGAGAGGAAGCATCCCTTTGTGAATGGCCAATAGTTGTCTGAATCTCCTGTAGTTTCTGATGGTAGTCATGGCAACTATAAACATCACATAGAAACTATAGTATTCAATTATTATACATGTAGTTCATTTCACTTTCATGTAATCAAGGATACCTTTCCAGTTTTCCTCTTATTTTCCAATTTGATTTTTAAAACTTTCACCCGATTCAAAACCTATCTAAAGCTGCACTTGTAACATAGGTATAACACACCTGATTGGAGTCATTATTAGCTATCATAGTCACTGATCATCAACTAATCTAATTGCTTTTACCTGGGACATTTAGGATACAGAAAAGTAGAAAATGATGCTCAGGTATGTATAGTCAAGTTTCCATGCATATTAGTACCATTTTTTGATGAATTTGCAAAGATGTCAAAGGTGACCTTTGACCCTTCTACTTGGACTTAATGACCCCTAATATATGTTAAGGTGAATAACTTATGATACTATGTTATACATGTGAGAAGTAAATTCAAACAAAATCTGTTCAAAGAGGTTCTGAAGATATTACTTTGGATAGGAATGGGACAGTATAAGGTACAATAAACCAGGACAGGACAGGACAGGACAGGACAGGACAGGACAGGACCAGATGGGACAGTACAAGGTAAAAAACCTGGACAGGACAGGACAGGACAGGACAGGACAGGACCAGATGGGACAGTACAAGGTACAAAACCTGGACAGGACAGGACAGGACGGGATGGGATGGGACAGTATAAGGTAGAAAACCTGGACAGGGACAGGACAGGACAGGATGGGATGGGACAGTACAAGGTACAAAACCTGGACAGGACAGGATGGGATGGGATGGGACAGTATAAGGTAGAAAACCTGGACAGGGACAGGACAGGACAGGATGGGATGGGACAGTAAAAGGTAGAAAACCTGGACAGGGACAGGACAGGAAGGGATGGGACAGTAAAAGGTACAAAACCTGGACAGGGACAGGACAGGACAGGACGGGATGGGACAGCATAAGGTACAAAACCTGGACAGGGACATGACAGGACGGGATGGGACAGCATAAGGTACAAAACCTGGACAGGGACAGGACAGGACGAGATGGGACAGCATAAGGTACAAAACCTAGACAGGGACATGACAGGATGGGACGGGACAGCATAAGGTACAAAACCTGGACAGGGACAGGACAGGACAGGATGGGACAGCATAAGGTACAAAACCTGGACAGGGACAGGACAGGACGGGATGGGACAGCATAAGGTACAAAACCTGGACAGGGACAGGACAGGACGGGATGGGACAGCATAAGGTACAAAACCTGGACAGGGACATGACAGGACGGGATAGGGACAGGACAGACAAGAGTAAATATGATCAATGTGAAAAGAACTATCTTAACACCATCTCGTCACACTACTTTTTCACCTTAGTATACACAAGATTACACAACAGTTGAAAAGTCCTGTAAATTAATTTCCATGTTGTACATTGCATACCTTCGTACTATTACGATAAACTTCACACTGGTCATTTGTCTAATGTAGGTGACAGTGAAGTCATCAAAACATCACACATTATTCCTAACTCTTATAAAATAAGAACTTCTATTCAATACATGGTACTTACCTGAGAGCGTAGGCAATGATGGAACTTGGTTCCTGGTCATACACAAGGACAGGGACACGGTAACAGGATGGTAGAACTGTGTGTTCGCTAGGATCACTAAAATTTTGGAATTTATTATACAATACTTTATTATCATCCAGATGTGGTAATTTCATGGCAAAACCATGGAAAGTAGAGACCAGATGTGGGGATAAATCATGTCTGCTTTATTTTTATTAATTAAAAGGATAAGGTGGGCAGCTTTATTTAAAATCCATCAGAGACAAACACTTGAGTATTAATTAGATGTTCCAGTTAAAAGTTTATCATTTATTACTGTGGGACCATTCATATCATTGGCTTTGATACCAGTGTACTATCACTGATAAGCCTGAAGTAGTAACAGGTTGGCCTCCGGGCTTATTATAATATATATCGAGTGCTATAAAATGGTACGTAAATAGGTAAAACCAAGGGAGTTAATCCTGTCTCTGTCAGCGGGCTTATTATAGTATATTTCTAGTACTATAAAATGTTACATAGATAGGTAAAACCAAGGGAGTTAATTCTGTCTCTGACAGCAGGCTTATTATAGTATATATCTAGTACTATAAAATGGTACATACATAGGTATAACCTGGGGAGTTAATCCTGTCTGTGACAGCGGGCTTATTATAGTATATATCTAGTACTGTAAAATGGTACATACATAGGTATAACCAGGGGAGTTAATCTTGTCTCTGACAGCGGGCTTATTATAGTATATATCTAGTACTATAAAATGGTACGTACATAGGTATAACCAGGGGAGTTAATCCTGTCTGTGACAGCGGGTTTATTATAGTATAAATCTAGTACTATAAAATGGTACGTACATAGGTATAACCAAGGGAGTTAATCCTGTCTCTGACAGCAGGCTTATTATAGTATATATCTAGTACTATGAAATGGTACGTACATTGGTATAACCAAGGGAGTTAATCCTGTCCCTGACAGGAAGTTGGTAATGGTCTTTTTAATGCCACTAATTCTGTCCACTTGCTGATTATCTGTTTGATCATCACTGCTGTCTACAACAGAAATTTAAAAATTGTAATTAAGAATTGAAAAAAAAACCCAAAACCAAAACACTAATATGCTCCTAGACCTCCTAGATGCTGAGAGTTTGTTCACATAATTGAGAGTTTTTGAGAATTAGTTTACTTACTTGAGAGTTTTTGAGCATTTGTTCACATACTTGAGAGTTTTTGAGAGTTTGTTCACTTACATGAGTGTTTTTGATAGTTTGTTTGATCACTTACATGAGAGTTTTTGAGAGTTTGTTCACTTACTTGATAGTTTTTGAGAGTTTGTTCACTTAATTGGGAGTTTTTGAGAGTTTGTTCACTTACTTGAGAGTTTTTGAGAATTTGTTCACATACTTGAGAGTTTCTGAGAATTTGTTTACTTACTTGAGAGTTTTTGAGAGTTTGTTCACATACTTGAGAGTTTTTGAGAGTTTGTTCACTTACATGAGAGTTTTTGAGAGTTTGTTCACTTAATTGGGAGTTTTTGAGAGTTTGTTCACATACTTGAGAGTTTTTGAGAGTTTGTTCACTTCATTGGGAGTTTGTGAGAGTTTGTTCACATACTTGAGTTTTTGAGAATTTGTTCACATACTTGAGAGTTTTTGAGAGTTTGTTCACTTAATTGGGAGTTTTTGAGAGTTTGTTCACATACTTGAGAGTTTTTGAGAATTTGTTCACATACTTGAGAGTTTTTGAGAGTTTGTTCACTTAATTGGGAGTTTTTGAGAGTTTGTTCACATACTTGAGAGTTTTTGAGAATTTGTTCACATACTTGAGAGTTTTTGAGAGTTTGTTCACTTAATTGGGAGTTTTTGAGAGTTTGTTCACTTACTTGAGAGTTTTTGAGAGTTTGTTCACATACTTGAGAGTTTTTGAGAGTTTGGTCACTTACGTGAGTGTTTTTGAGAGTTTGTTTGTTCACTTACATGAGAGTTTTTGAGAGTTTGTTTACTTACTTGAGAGTTTTTGAGAGTTTCCAGGGACTAGTAATCTGGTAGACCCTTTTATAGACTTCAGTTTCTGTATATCTGTCTCCACTAATGAAGCATTGTCTTCCAGTTCCCTTCCAACTGAGTTAGAAGATTTCACATCAGGCTGGCTTTTTTTTTCAACATCAGATGAAGAATTATCTGGAATAAATGTAAAAAAAGTTTGTTACATTTATATACAAGTATTAGTAAGTAATAACTGCATATAACGCAGCATCATTAAAAATTGCTTAAAGTACCTTTAAATAAATCTACTGAAGTTTACACACAAATTTAGTACAAAGAGTAAAACAAATCATTTTTTATTTATATATAAACTAATATAAAAGAAAAATTATCTAATTTTACAAGTTTGATATGTAAATATGTGGTTATATTGCTAGCACTATGTACTATGATTCGAACAACAGATTGACGAAACACAATCTTAATTTTTTTTTTCATTTTAGCTCAGATCATGAAGCCAATAATATTACATGGGTGAAGTGATCACATTGAGCCTAAATTTTCATTTACAAGAGGAATGACTTTGCCTTTTGACCTTCAACCAGAAAAGTAATCAAAGAATTTTCAGTAAGGGAACACCGTAAGATATTTATGTATGGTTGATCAAAGTTAACTCAATTTAATTTGTGGTAATTGAATCTTCAAGTTAGACTTAGTCGAAGAATACCTGGAACATACTTAGCCTAAACCTTAAAATAAACCTTGGGCATCAATGACTTCAGTTATCAATATTTTTCTTGTTCTTTTTTTTTTCTTGTTCTTTGTTGTTGTTGTTTTTTATTTTTTTTGTAAAAAAGCATATACATTGTAATCACTGGTAGCACACTGTAATTGGGAGAATTTCTGCAGTTATCTTAGCAACATGCTTCTATATCTGTGATCCACTACTTTAAATTACACAGTCTTTATTTTTTAAGGAAATTAAGCAAATTGAGGTATATAACTGTTCATTGATTAAAATTTTGCTACACTAAAATTTAACCAATTACAATGATATGAGTTGCAGAAAGCTAGAAGCTGTAGTTTTAGTAAATGGTGTTATACAATATTGTACAGGGTAAGGTTTAGTAAATAGTGTTATACAATATTGTACACTGTTAGGTTTAGTAAATAGTGTTATACAATATTGTACAGGGTAAGGTTTAGTAAATAGTGTTATACAATATTGTACAGGGTAAGGTTTAGTAAATAGTGTTATACAATATTGTACAGGGTAAGGTTTAGTAAATAGTGTTATACAATATTGTACAGGGTAAGGTTTAGTAAATAGTGTTATACAATATTGTACAGGGTAAGGTTTAGTAAATAGTGTTATACAATATTGTACAGGGTAAGGTTTAGTAAATAGTGTTATACAATATTGTACACTGTTAGGTTTAGTAAATGGTGTTATACAATATTGTACACTGTTAGGTTTAGTAAATGGTGTTATACAATATTGTACACTGTTAGGTTTAGTAAATGGTGTTATACAATATTGTACAAGGTTAGGTTTAGTAAATAGTGTTATACAATATTGTACACTGTTAGGTTTAGTAAATGGTGTTATACAATATTGTACACTTTTAGGTTTAGTAAATGGTGTTATACAATATTGTACAGGGTAAGGTTTAGTAAATAGTGTTATACAATATTGTACACTGTTAGGTTTAGTAAATGGTGTTATACAATATTGTACACTGTTAAGTTTAGTAAATAGTGTTATACAATATTGTACACTGTTAGGTTTAGTAAATGGTGTTATACAATATTGTACACTGTTGTTTGAGTAAATGGTGTTATACAATATTGTACACTGTTGTTTGAGTAAATGGTGTTATACAATATTGTACACTTTTAGGTTTAGTAAATGGTGTTATACAATATTGTACACTGTTAGGTTTAGTAAATGGTGTTATACAATATTGTACACTGTTAGGTTTAGTAAATGGTGTTATACAATATTGTACACTGTTGTTTGAGTAAATGGTGTTATACAATATTGTACACTTTTAGGTTTAGTAAATGGTGTTATACAATATTGTACACTTTTAGGTTTAGTAAATGGTGTTATACAATATTGTACAATGTTGTTCTCATAAATGATGTTATACAATATTGTACACTTTTAGGTTTAGCAAATGGTGTTATACAATATTGTACACTGTTAGGTTTAGTAAATGGTGTTATACAATATTGTACAATGTTAGTTTTAGTAAACGGTGTTATACAATATTTTACACTGTTGTTTTAGTAAATGGTGTTATACAATATTGTACAATGTTGTTCTCGTAAATGATGTTATACAATATTGTACAAGGTTAGGTTTAGTAAATGGTGTTATACAATATTGTACACTGTTAGGTTTAGTAAATGGTGTTATACAGTATTGTACAATGTTAGGTCTAGTTTATAGTGTTATACAACATTGTACAATGTTAGGTCTAGTAAATGGTGCTATACAGTGTTGTACACTGTTGTTTTAGTAAATGGTGTTATACAATATTGTACAATGTTGTTCTCGTAAATGATGTTATACAATATTGTACAAGGTTAGGTTTAGTAAATGGTGTTATACAATATTGTACACTGTTAGGTTTAGTAAATGGTGTTATACAATATTGTACAATGTTGTTCTCGTAAATGATGGTATACAATATTGTACAATGTTAGGTCTAGTAAATGGTGCTATACAGTGTTGTACAATGTTAGGTCTAGTAAATGGTGTTATACAGTATTGTACAATGTTAGGTCTAGTAAATAGTGTTATACAGTATTGTACAATGTTAGGTCTAGTAAATGGTGTTATACAGTATTGTACAATGTTAGGTCTAGTAAATAGTGTTATACAGTATTGTACAATGTTAGGTCTAGTAAATGGTGTTATACAGTATTGTACAATGTTAGGTCTAGTAAATGGTGTTATACAGTATTGTACAATGTTAGGTCTAGTAAATAGTGTTATACACAGGGCCTACCTTTGTTGACTTGCAGTACTACATAAGAGTTAGAACTGTTGAGATCAGTGTTAGTAGGAGGGGTGTTGTCCTGTGTTATACCTGCTG